AAACACGAAACCGTATATATTGTTAAGGCATTCCTCAATTTACATTAACCACAATTGATATCGCACATCGTTCCTCCATCGTGAACACAAATGTGTGCAAGCAATGATCGTCTAACTTTTTATCGTTCGCACATTGTGCACACACCTTGCACACACATGCGCACATTGTGTAACGTTGTGCGATCCCACAACTGTACCAGATTGGTGATCTTGAGCTGAAACTAACTTGTACATATTTGTACAGGTAGCCTATTTCTGAAAATCAGGTCTGATTCTACTTTTGAAGTATAAATTAATATAATTTCTACAAATTTTCCATCTTCAGACTTGTTTCGTTACTTAATACATGTAGAGTGTACTAGCTGCAGAACTTTGACTTTGTGCTTGTATCATTAATGTCTTTCTTAACTTTATCCCTGAAGATTTTCTAAAGGAAAGAATTATTTAAGTTCAGGAAAACCATAAAGAATTTCTTTTGTAAATTCTGTAATGCTTTTGGAAGCAAAATCTGAAGTCAAAAGATTATATTATAACTTTTGTGAAATTGGGGCCAGCTATAAGGTTATGAATGGATATCGTTAACATATTGACCCTTTACCAAGTTTAATGTTGGCTGTGATCACTCTGCTAACGCAAGTAGGAAATTTAATATTTCTTGGATTTCTATTCCAGGACGACAAAGACAAAGATGATTGTAAAAGTTTGCTGCTAAATGCTGATCGTATCCAAGTACTTAATGAGATTTACAACAACATAGAACAGATTTGGAAGGAAGCTAACTGTAAAGGTAACTAATGTCATATTCCTGATTCTCATGGTGGTCTCGTCAACCTAAAGACACATAATAAACTAACTTCATCAACCGACAGAGTAAAGTTCATAGAGATACATTGTATAGTAGGCTGATAAAACTACAAATGCCTCTCACATTGACTGTCAACTTTTATTACCAGCCTATAGATACATTTCATTGCTTAATCTGGATAACATTCATAACATCAACTGTACAGCTCTCATATGCAGTCAGCCCTTCACTAACAAAATCCATGTATGACACTTAGTTAATTTGTGTTGGAAATCAGATAGCAAAAACATTATATTGTATTCAATTAACTGGATAATTTCCTGTTGAAATACATTGTTTGAAATTAATGCTATAACAGCATTTTGGATTTACATCATTGCAAATTCAAGTTTGATTCATTGGGTGGTTGGTTGGCACAGTGTATTAATACGCTGAGCCTCTACAGTACTTATATATAGTTTCTGTTGCAGTAATTTTGGTTTTAGAACAGCTGTGATTTATGGATGTGTATGTTGGTACTAATTGCTGTAATATTATTACAGGATGTTTCAGAAGTGTGGCTGTAGATGTCAACGGTACAGTTGTCTATAAATACAGCAAAGACACAATGGAATTCATGGACAAATATAAAGTTGTGTCTACATGTCTACGCCACAATCCAGCTCAAGGGGTAACTATTGCAATTTTGTTTCAAGTCGTTAGTTTTACCATACCATGGGATAGCTTTCATATAAAATACATACAAATACGATAGCCGGTAAATGAATTTTAAGATGAAAATCTGCCTACATAATTCAAAATGAAGCCTATTCATAAGCACTACATATAAGTGTCTTCCCGGTCACCTCGACCAAATAAAACACTGTATGTGTGTATACGTATCTATAGATAAAATATGCTGTCATGTACACTGTATATGTGAATAAATAGTCATGATCTGTATAACCACACAATTGCTATGTACATGTAAATATAATACTGCCATCCATTTATGAAATAATCAAAACGTTTCATTTATAACTCTAGATAACAATTTCATTTCAATAAAGGAATTGGAATCCTTCTATAGCTATTTCTGGGGGTATGTTTAATTCTTTATGCTCTTTATTGATAAAATAGATGTGACCAACTTGTACACTACCTTTATGTTTTACAGGATGGCAACGATAGTGTGTGTGAGGTTTGTCGGGGAAATTACACACAGCTAAATTCTTTCTTCAAGAAAGTGCGAGCAGCTAAAAAAGATTCTGTGTGTATGGATCTTGTGGATATGGTAAGATACTGAATGATTGAATTTGTAAAAGCTATTTTTTTCAGCCAAGTTTTATTGCATTTCATTTGCGCTTGACAATCTTATTATCTTCACAACTTATGAACAAATAATAATTGAGTTATTCATGAGAAGGAAATATATTAAATTTTCTTTTTTAATTGAAAACCATGTTTATGTTTTCACCACTTTTTTCTAAAGAGAAAGTTTTCAATCTTTTAATTTTTCGTGTTATTGTGAGCTGCCTGTGCTGACTAGATTTGTATTTCAGATGAACTACACACGCCTGATGTGGGGTCAGCAGCTTCACTGCTCCCGACACTCCCCTGATGATGCTGTAGTGGTCGTTATAGCAGTGGCTCTCCTCGCACTGCCAGTAGTCTTCTATGTTGGAGCCAGGTACTTCGTAGTGAGGACTAAAAGAAAACTGATGCTGCGTACGTATATATATTTGAAGTTTTTCCTAACTTTCACATATTTCTCTCCCAGAACTTTATACTGATATAAAAGCAAAGATGGCCAACCCAACTTGCCTTTTTTTTTTTTTTTAAACATGTGGAAACCTTTTCATTCTCTTCTCAACCTAGCGTATTTAAACCAAACTATATATATACAAATGTAGTCCCCTAATAGCTTTAACTAGAGGTTTGGATTTGGGTATTATCAAGATCAAGGGTTTTGTTATCCGAAACCCATAAAAAATATACTCTTTGAACTTTTATTGAGTACATGTACTAAGTATATTGGAGCAATAGTGGATGCAGAGATTCATGGGAGAGCACCTGTCAAAAACTGCTGTGTAAAATACTTTATATAAGGTTTATTGTTATTAGGTAGTGACTTTAGGTAAGGACAAGTAAAGGGAGGTAATTGAGTCTATGGATGCGTATGTATTAAAACACAATGTCTATCACTGATAACTGGTCATGTAACAAATCAACCCTTACAATCAATGTGACAACACAGAATCTGGTGTAGGATGTGAATGAATCATATATAACCTTTCACTACACAATCTGATGTTATATTCAGTCCTTTTTTTGATCTTTGTTTTTTATTAGAAAAGAGAATGTCCCAGGTTGCTGCACAGACATTGTTTATTCGAGGAGCTGCCAGCAGTACTAGTAAAGATGATGAGGAAACACAGCTTTTATCTACCTCCTTCTCCTGACAGTGCTGAGAGACTGACCATTACAATACCAGAATGTGTTCACTTGAAAATCACTCCTGCCCTCCTAGAGGTTGTCAGTAACTGTTAATAGAAAGACTGTCAGAGTTAAATGCATCAATTGTCTACCACCTTCAGCTTTTATATTACAAAAATTAAGAGTTCTTGGGTATGATGGAGCTTGAAAAATTGCATTTTGAAAAGATTTTGCAAATATTTAATGTTGCAGATATATTTCCATTTAATATTGCTAGTCTACAAGCTGCATTTTGAATAGTAGCAAATAATTATCAAATGATAGTATTTTTATGTGTTAAACCTGGACTTGTGACTTTAAAATTAAACATTATTTATTTTACAACAATTGTAAAACAAGCTAAATATGAACATATATTAATCAGTCTTGTTGCCTGGATGGTAGTGTACTGGGATCTGAATGTGGGAGGAAACCAGCGTACTCTAATTGGTCGAGTAGGTGACTATATGTTTTTATATCAGTCAAGGAACTGAACCCTGACTGCCTTGGTGAAAGGCGAGTGCACTATCCGCTGTGCCATCCAACTCCTCTTGTGACATCCTTGATATTCCAAGGGGCTACACTCACTTACGATCTCCCCAGAGTGAGGATAGATTTATAATAATGAGAAGTGACTAGTGAATGGTGAATAGTGACTGGTGAATGATAATAAGTGACTCATGAATGATAATTAGTATTAAACTCTTTTTCTTTAGGGAAAAATGAATATTATTATCAACCTGAAAAAAATTGGGGGGGATATACATGTAGCCATCATGCAGGGTGTCTGTCCATCAGTCAGTATTGCTCGTCTGGATAAAAATATCTTGTATCAATCAGCATGCCTGTGGTCTTCCTCGTTGAGCTATATTATGAGATACCGGCCATAAATCATGGCAAAGGATCTTGCATCCGAAGAGCCTTTATTATTTTGTATTTAATCAATTTTTGAAGCAGATAATAAAACAGCTCTAGACTTATGTGATGGTAAAAATGATGTGATATGAACCTGCACTTCAGCTTGGTCAATATCACCTTTTCAGGTCTACATGACCTCATATAAGAGAGTATGAAACCGTATATACCTGATCATATTCACTTTCACATCAGTCTATAACTGTATAGTGACTGGTGTGTTGGGTGCTGAAGGGTGAATGTACATTAGTGAAAGATGTTTATTGGTTGTTAGCGATGGACATTGAGTAAAGGATGTTTTGAATGAGAAAATGAAGAGTCCCTTGTTTACATTTAAGTTAGATTTAATTACTTAACATACATTTCCATTGCTGTTAATCTGTACATATTTGAGAGATAAACACACTGGAAAATTAGAAACTCTAATCTCAATTTCTCCTTCATAGAAAATTATCATACGCTACTGCTATTAATTAATATAAGGTCTGTACTACAATTCTATCTTTTGTATTCATTTCACATGTCCTACATACCTTCTGTTACATTTACTACAGCCCTGTTAATATCAATATGGTATGGTGCTATGTTTAAAACATGTAATTACATAAACTTGTTAACAATTGTGATTAGAAGTTTGTATCAATTCATCTCTGATAGGATTATAAGACTATTTCATGCCAAAGGGTGTAGGATAGGGAAATTCTATTCGAGATATTTTCAAATTGTTTTATCCAATTTGAAAGTCATGAGGGTGACATTTTTCTATCCCACACCCTGGGGCATGAAAGATCATCTCTCACTCATTCCACTTATCACCAAAATCAGCTCAGAAACCACAAAAAGGTTACAGCACCATGCATCAAAATGTTTCCCATTTTGGGACATCACATCCCGTTTGTCCCATTTTAACATCACACACCTTCAATGGGGTGTAGGATAGAAAGTTCTTTCACCCTTTTGTTACCCTGGGTAGTTATTCACATACACACTGGAATGAAAGAAAACAATATTCACTGTAGCACCAACACAATGCTGATTATGTACATTGAGAAATTCCTGTAGGCTCAGTCACTGGTGGAGCCTAAGCCCTGTTTCCACATTCTGATTACAATAAAATATTCTCATATCCTATAGAAATAAGATAGTGTAATCACCATGACATGTATTTTAAAAACATATTTCCGCTGTTGTCACATTATTATGGAGCTTTCCTGTGATATATATTATTTAAATTAAATGTTTTGTTTATCTCGTGAAATAGAGTAAGAAATGATTTTGTTCATTTCAGTTTCACATTTATTCATAATGTACATGTACACCTGTGTGTCTCTTGACAGAAGATACTTTAACCATCATCCAATACATGTGGCAGTACCTAACTTTGTATATGATGTGTTTTCTGTCTGAAATATGTAAAATAAAGTAAGGAAACGTTTTTATGTGTTGATTTCAATCTGATGCGTTAGCAGTGATTATGATTTAAACCAAAACATCATGTTTGTTGGGGTTCTAGTATAATGATCCAGTATATACAACTGAGTAGGGTAGGAGCTGAACAATATACGTCCATTACATGCCAAAGTAACATGCCAAGAATCCTCCCAATTCATTCTTGTATCAAAATGTATGAACACATAAAATGTAATAAAAAGAAAGTACATTTATACTACATTAATCTGTAAATGACTTATTTCTGAGATGTGGTGAGAGCACAGGTACTAGCCTCGTCTGTCAGTACACCTAT